GGGTGTTATGCACAAACAATGAATCATGGAACACTACATCTAAAACTAATGATGCAATGTATGGGGATAATATAAGAATAAAAAAATTAAAAAAAAAAAAAAGAAACTGAGGTAGAACACCCCCCAATTCCCCTTACCCTTTCCTACTTCTTCTATTCCTATAGCACACAATCCCTTCTAATATATCATTCACGTATTTATGATATTGTTTAGCATCTATTTCCTCCTGCTAAAATGTAAGCTCCATGAAGGCAAAGATCTGTGGCTGCTTTGTTCATGAATGTATTCTAAGAGACTAGAATGCCTGGCACATGGAAATGCTCAATAAATATTGGTTGAGTGGGTGAATCTCTATTTGCCAAATGTTTAGCATGTATTAATGAATGAAAAAGCAAGTTGTCAAACAATCTGTGTAAACTGTGTGTGTGCATACAGACACGTAAACACACAACAAATGTTGGGATACGTGTAGAAAAACTTTGGTATTCAAATCAAACATCTTGTGGAGTGGAACTTTTGAGAGAAAAAATTAGTTTTTAAACTTTTATACTGCCTGAATTTTTTTTACATTGGCATGAATAGCATATATTGACAAAGATGTGGAGCACAGAACTCATAAGTCACAGTTACAGTGTAAACTGGTACAACCATTTTGGAAATAATTTGGCATTATCTAGTAAAGTCGCAAATGTGTCTATACTATGACTCACTATTTCACTCCTAGGAATGTATTCCAATGAAACTCTTACCCATGTGCATTAGGAATATATGCAAGAATCAGCACAGCAGTAGTCATCATAGCAAAAAACTAGACACCCAATGGCCTACCAACAGTAGAATAAACTATGGTAATTCATCCAATAAAGTACTATATACTAGAATGAGTTCTAGCTATGCACAGCAATGCAGATAAATCTTTCCATGTTGAGAAAAAAAAGAAAGTCACAGAAAAAATACATAGTAAATTCCATTTATATAAAATTAAGAAATATGCAAAAGTAAACAAATACTGTTTGGAGTTATAAACATATACAGTAAAACTGTGAAGAAAAGCAAGGAAACAATATAACCTATAACCTGCAGGAGGGGGATCTCCGAGCAGAGAGAAAGGGGATGGAATGGGTAAGACTAGAAAGGAACGTAAAAGTTATGGTTATATCGCTTCTCTGCCTTTTGGCTAAGATCAAGTGTAAAAGTTATGGTTATTTTATTTTATTTATTTATTTTTTTTAAAGAATTTATTTACTTGACAGAGAGAGACACACAGCGAGAGAGGGAACACAAGCAAGGGGAGTGGGAGAGGGAGAAGCAGGCTTCCTGCGGAATAGGGAGTCCAATGCGGGGCTCAATCCCAGGACCCGGGGATCATGACCTGAGCCAAAGGCAGACGCTTAACGACTGAGCCACCCAGGCGCCCCTATTTTATTTTTTTTTTAAGTAGGCTCTACTCCCAGGGTGGAGCCCAATGTGAGGCTTGAATTCACGACCCTGAGAGCAAGATCTGAGCTGAAATCAAAAGTCCAGATGCTTACCTGACTGAGCCACCCAGGCGCCCCTGTTTTTTAATGGGATGGCAAGTACACAATTTCACTGTATCATTCTTTTTTCTTTATGTATGTTTCTAAATATTGTTTTTTCATTTAGTCAATCGTAAATAAAACAATTTTGGGGAAAAAACCCAAACCAATAAAGTTTGAGCTTCTTCCTGTGTACTTATATTTAATAATTAAAAAAACCCCAGTTAATTAAAAACAAACAAACCAGGGCGCCTGGGTGGTTCAGTCAGTTAAGCGTCTGCCTTCGGCTCAGGTCATGATCCCAGAGCGTGCGATGGGGCCTTGCATCAGGCTCCATGTTCAGCAGGGAGTCTGCTTCTCCCTCTGCCCCTCCCCCTGCTCATGCTCATGCTCCCTCTCCCTCTCAAATAAATAAATAAATAAATAAATAAAATCTTTAAAACAGACAAACAAACCCTCTGAGAGTAGAATGGCTGGGTCATGCAGTAGGTCATATAACTGGCTTTTTAAAAAGCTACAAATCTCTTTTCTAATATGACTGTACCATTTTCCATTTCCACCAGCAGTATATGCAAGTTCCAGTTGTTCCACATCCTTGCCAGCATTTGGTATTATTGATCTTTTTTATATTAACTATTTCAGCGGATATATAGCAATACCTCCTGGTGACTTAATATACAATGCAATCAATGTGTAATGGTGTTATCTTTTCATGTGTTTATCTGCTCTATGTATATCTTTTTTTTTTTAAGATTTTATTTATTTATTTGACAGGGAGAGATAGTGAGAGCAGGAACACAAGCAGGGGGAGTGGGAGAGGAAGAAGCAGGCCCCCTGCCAAGCAGGGAGCCCCATCCCAGGACCCTGGGATCACCACCTGAGCCGAAGGCAGACGCTTAACAACTGAGCCACCCAGGCCCCCTCTGCTCTATGTATATCTTGATGAAGTGCCTGTTCAAGTCTTTTGCCTGTGTTTTTTACTGGGTTGCTTGCAGTGGTATGTTGGTAAATGTTTAAAACAGACTTTCTAAGTGTAGTTTTTAAATGAATGCTGGTTGATATTTTCATTTACATTAATGAGTACGATGTAACTGAAACTTCAGAAGTGACTTCTCTGAGTTGGATAATACTTTTCAAACACTAGAATGATACTCCCTCAAGTTTTTGAGCTATTCGCAATGTAAAGCCTATAGACATGACACACTTCTAAATTTAATCTCTATTAACATTTCTCCATCATTAAGTTCAGACATAACAAAGCAGAAAATCAAGCCCTGGTGTGTAGCATTTGCTGATTCTATGGTGTAAATATTCCCATTGTGGCCAAAATCAAGCTACTGATGTTACTTTGGAAAAAGATGTGTACATCACCATATAATATTCCCACCATATAGATGCAATAGATATAAGCAACCACAAAAGCATACAAAATGGGAAAATGTAGTAAAATAATAACAAAATGATGAGTGTTTTTTTTTTTAAAGATTTTTTTTTTAAATTTATTTATTTGAGAGAGAGAGAATGAGAGACAGCATGAGAGAGAGGAGGGTCAGAGGGAGAAGGAGACTCCCTGCCGAGCAGGGAGCCTGATGCGGGACTCGATCCCGGGACTCCAGGATCATGACCTGAGCCGAAGGCAGTCGCCCAACCAACTGAGCCACCCAGGCGCCCCATGATGAGTGGTTTTCAATAGACTTTATTTATTTCGTTGTAAGTTTGTATAATTTAATTTTTCTAAATTTAACAACCTATTTTCAAAATTCTTGCTAAATTTAAAAATTTTATTTATTTTTAGAGAGGGAGAGTGTGAGCAGGGGGAGGAGCAGAGGGGGAGCGAGAGGATGAGGGAAAGAATCCCAAGCAAGCTCCACTCTGAGCCTGGAGTCCTACGTGGGGCTGGATACCATGACCCCAAGATCATGATGACCTGAGCCAACACCAAGATGCTCAACGACTGAGCCACCCAGACGTCCCCCCTTGCTAAATTTCGTAAGTGACTCTTGCAAGCCAGTATGAAATGGCTTCAGCACATCAGTGGTTGTCTTATTATTGAGTTGTTAGAGTTGTTTTTTCTAAAGATTTATTTATTTGAGAGAGACCTGCTACTTCTGTAAAATTGGGCTAATATGCTCCTCAAAGTTATTGCGAAGAGTACTAAGTCCACAGAAATGCTTTGCAAATCAAAGAAAACATCACTCACTAGGTCAGTTATTGACAAGCGAAACAATCTTTGGAGGAAATTGCCGTAATTTCCTAAAGAGAGAAAAAAAAGAATGAACGAAAAAGAAAGCCCTTCCTCACGGGACCCTTCCCATTCCTTTAAAATTGGCCGGGCTGCAGAGAGACGACTGAGTGACGGCGCTATCGGCCAATCAACGCGATCGGCCAATCAGCGGAGGCCCCGTTTCGGGCCCACCCCGAAGCCTAGTCCAACCGCGTACTGGTAGCACCCGGATTAGGACCGTTGAGAGGCGGCCGGTTCCAAGTGGCCCAGGTCGCGGGGGGGAGAGGCCGGCCTGTACACGAGGACGGCGCCGCCCTTTCCGCGCGGGAACTGGAATTTGGGCCGCGGTTGCTGGGACCGGGCCGACCCAGCGGGACGGCGGGGACTGACCTGTGCCTAGATCCCATCCCAGCACGCGCAGCCTGCCGCGAGTCCCTGGTGTCCCCTCCGGCGCGCTCTTGGAGCCACTTTCCCGAGCGGAAGTCAGCCTCCGGCTCGGGCCCTGGTGGGACCTGCTCGGAGGAATGGCGTCGCCGGGTGAGGCGTTGTGCATGGCTCGACGACGGGGCCCCGCGGCCGGCACGCCTTGGCGAGTGGGCCGTAGCCCGCGGGAGGCTAGTGCTCGCTACTCGGGAGCCAGCCACGCGGGAGTTTCTTCCCCTGTGGGGCAGGGGCAGGGGCATGGACTCGGGCTCGGGCTCTTTTGGGGACGAGTGTGTGACGGAGGGCTGGCGAGCGGGTGGGACTGCGGGCGAATGGAGGTGGGGTGGGTGCCAGTGCGGCGCGGAGCTACGGGTGCCCCCGAGGCCCAGCCGGGGGCCGCGGTTAACCCTAGGTCTGACTTCCCTCATTCATTTGATTCGCGCCGGCTCCCGAGCCGGGTGGCCTAAGAGTGAGCTTTTGGCCAAGTCGTCCTTTGGACCGTGGCTTCCTTTGTAGTGAAAAGGAGCAAGGAAATCACTATCTCTCTGGGATCTGAAGTTAGATTTTCCTGGTGCAAACTTGTAGTTTGTCAAGTATTCGTTAATGTGACCCAGTCCAGGTTCCTTAACCTCTCTGCACCTCAGTTTCTGATCTGTAAACTAGGTTAGTCACATTATCCGCCGCGTAAATTGCTGTATTAAGTGAGCTGAGCCCCGTGCATAGTTTAGAATAGTGCATGGCACTAAGCAAGCATCAATAAAGTTAACTGCATTGCTAGTTATTGGGCGGGCACTGTGCACGATGAGAGCATGTAGTCTCACGGCGGCGTGGGGAATGTGTACTATTATGTACGTTTGACAGACAAAATTTCAGAGAAGAAAAGTAACTTGCCCAAGATAACAGTGAATAAGACAGTGGGTCATTGCTCCATTTTTTGAAAAGGTGAGGGTAATAGAGTGGTTAAAAAACAAACTTTGGATTCAAACTGCCTGCATTCTGATTCTCAGTTATGTGTCTTAGGGCAGGTAACTCCTAGTGAGTCTCAGTTTCTTCATCTGTAAACCGCACTCACTTGGATGTTGTGACGATTTAATGACTCAATGCATGCCAAGTACTTAGCATAGTATGGACATACCCCACACATGTTAAGTGCTCGAATTTTAGCCAAAAATGTTGTCACTATTAATTCGAGGTGGGAAGATTAGAATTCTGACATAGATGCTGTATTAGGGGAATTTATAGTCTAGCTGGGAAAATGCCAGTTGTCATTTACTAGATCTTAATATATTAAGTGCTATATTAAGCATGTAATATATTGCATGTACACAAGGCACTGGGGATTCAGCATTAGTATGTTTTTGACTCTTTTTCTTACATTTTTCTATCCTTTAGCAGTTCTGGCTTTGACCTTGAATTCTAGCTGGACTCTGACCACTTTTCACCTCTACTGCTGTCACCCTGGCTGTGACCACCATCATCTTTTTACTTGGATTATTACTAACTGGTGTCCCTCTTTAGGTTCTTTCTCCTGCCTAGTCTCAACACAGTTTTGTTTATTCTCAACACAATGATCCTGTTAAATTCTAAGTCAAATCATTCCTCTTCTCAAAACTTTCTAGTGGCTCCCATCTCTCAGTATAAGCCAGAGTCCCTACAGACGTTTAAAAGGTTCTTCAGATTTGGCCTCTGCTACCTCTTTCACCTCTTCCATACTTTTCACCCTTTGCTTATGCCACTCTAACTATACTTTCCTCTTTGCTAATGTCAAAGAATACCACATATACAGGGTCTTTGCACTTGCTTTTCTTCTTGGGATAGTTTACCCCAAAATATCTTTGTGATGCTCCATCTTTTCCTTCAGGTCTATACACAATAGCTTTATTTCTTAGTTAGACCTTCATAGACTACCATATTTAAAATCGTAACTCTGGGGCACCTGGGTGGCTCAGTCGGTTAGGCATCTGCCTTCAGCTTAGGTTATGATTCCAGGGTCCCGGGATTGAGCCCCGTGTTGGGCTTCCTGCTCGGTGGAGAGCCTGCTTCTCCCTCTCCCTCTGCTGCTCCCCCTGCTTGTGTGTGTTCTCTCTCTCTGTGTCAAATAAATAAATAAAATCTTAAAAAAAAAATAAAATCGTAATTCTTCTCAGATATCTCTTCTGTGCTTTATTTTTCTCCATAGTACTTTTCACCTTCTAATGTGATAAATAATGTTTCTTTCTTTTTTTTTTAAGATTTTATTTATTTGAGAGCACGAGAGAGATAGCATGAGCAGGATGAGGGGCAGAAGGAGAGGGAGAAGCAGGCTCCTGCTGAGCAGGGAGCCCGATGCAGGGCTTGATCCCAGGACCCTAAGATCATGACCTGAGCTGAAGGCAGATGCCTAACCGACCAAGCCACCCAGACGCCCCATAAATAATGTTTCTTAATTGTGTTGTGTGATACCTTTCTTTGCCGACTAGAATGTAGGCTTTATGAGGTTTGGGGTTGTTTTTTTTAAATTCTGTTTTTTGCTTTATTTTTAATACCAAAAATAGTGCTTGGTAAGTATTCAATAAATATTTTATAATTGAATACTCCACACTATAGATTCCTATTAACAGTATAGTGTTTAATTAATTTATTTATTTTTTAAAGATTTTCTTTATTTGACAAAGAGACAGAGAGGGAACACAAGCAGGGGGAGTGGGAGAGGGAGAAGCAGGCTTTCTGCTGAGCAGGGAGCCTGACGCAGGGCTTGATCCCAGGACCCTGGGATCGTGACCTGAGCTGAAGGCAGACGCTTAATGACTGAGCCACCCAGGCGCCCCGCCCCCTCTTTCTAGTGTTTTAAAAAGAACTTCCACATTCTTTAGCTTATTTAACACACGAAGAAGGATTTAAATAGAACTAGCACTCATAGAAGAACAATTCTGAGTTACCGCTAATGTAGGCATCATTTCTGAAACAATCTCCAGAGTGTAAACTGTTAGATTTGAGTGAATCCAAGATTGTCTGCAAGGTACTCTCAGTCTCAGTTTTCTTATTTGTAAAATAGATATAATGATGCCTTTTTTTTTTTTTTTTAAGTAATCTCTCTGCCCAGTGTGGGGCTCTAATTCACACCCTGGGATCAAGAGTCGCAGACTCCACTGACTGAGCCAGCCAGGAGCCCTCTAATAATGCCTTTCTTAAGGGAATCTAGTTCAAACTAAATTTGACACTATGGGCAGAGGATTTAGGACTACTACCATTAGCCTTGTGATTACAGTAGAGCTCCCTTATCTGCAGGGCTTATTTTCCAAGATCCCCAGTGGATGCTTAAAACTGCAGATAGTACTGAACACGTATATATACTGTGTTTTTTTCTATACATGCATACCTATGATAAAGTTTAATTTATAAATTAGGCACAGTAAGAGATTAACAACGATAACAATAAAAACAGTTATAACAATATACTGTAACAAAAGTCATGTGAATGTGGTCTCTCAAAATATCTTGTACTGTACTCACCCTTCTTGATATAGATGCTTACGTGATAAAATGTCTGCATGATGAGATGAAGTAAGGTGACTGATGGAGGCATTGTGATGTAGCATTAGGCTACTACTGACCCGACAGTACTGGACCGTGGTTGAACGTGGGTAACTGAAACTGTGGAGAGTATGGATAAGGTGGTGGTGGGGCGGGGGGTGGTGGATACTGTTCTGTTAATTATATGGCAGTCAATTCATGAAGCAGCCCATAGAATGTACCACTCATAACTGCTTCCTGTCTCCTGGAGCATAATAGACAAGGATTAATTTTTCTTTTCATTTATTTAGCAAATATTAATTCAGTACTAATACCTGCCAAGCAGTGTTTAATACTTGGAAATACTGGGATGTTCAGAAGAAACTGTCTATCCTCATGGAACTTACAGTTTAGCAGAGGAATCAGACATTACCCTATTAATTATAGTTGTGAAAAAGACTACATAGAAGAAGTACAGGTTGCTATATGCATGGATAGAGCAGCAACAATAGTGATGGTAATAGAAGTAGCGAACATTTATGTAGCTCTTGTTATAAGCCAGTCACCATTATAAGATCTTTCTATGTTAACTCATGTAATCCTCATTACACTCCTGCGGTAGGTACTGTTATTATCCCACTTTACGCTTGAGGAAACTGAGGACGGACTGGCTACATTGTAACTGCCACAGCCATATTGCTAATAAATGGCAGAACTAGGATTTATTTATTTACTTATTTTCAAAGTATGTATGTGTGTATTTATTAGAGAGTGCACAAGCAGGGGAGGGGCAGAGGGAGAGGTTGAGAGAGAATCCCAAGCAGGTTCCCTATCCAGTGCAGAATGTGACGGGGGGCTCAGTCTCACAACCTTGAGATCATGACCTGATTCAAAACCAAGAGCCCGACGTTTAACTGACTGACTGAGCCACCTGGGCACCTGGGCAAAGCTAGGATTTAAACCTGGCCTCAGAGGTCGCATTCTTCAGTATTTTATAGTACTGGGGACCTAACCTGAGGAAGGGCAGTTGGGGAGACTTTTTGAGGAAGAGATACTTGAACTGAAATTGGAGAGTAAAAAAAAGTTGAAAGTTGAAGTAAGGGAAAGCATGAAAAAGTGCTGGGTAGGGTAGAACATGACTTGTTAGAGGAACAGAGAGGGGTCCAGAGAGCCACAGATGGGAAGAAGAATGAGGGAAGAGAACCGGTGAGAGGCAGGCGAGGCCATGGTGAGGATTCAGGATTAGGCCTGTCTTAGAGGCATAGGAGTTACAAACGTACTTGAAATGGGAATGGCATGATGGCGTCCTGTGCTTCAGCGACACAGAGGCTACTGGGAGGACATTTCAGATGGATGAAGACAGTGCCCACCACTTTGCCAGGACTTCTCCCAGTTCCCTCCCCCTTCCTCACATGATTTGGTTCCCAGACCTTGGTGCACACCGTCATTGGAACTGTATATAGAACTTGGGAATTGTTTGGATTGTATTTAATAGTCATTTCCCCCCAAGGTTCAAGCACTGTCTTCCTGTTGGCCCTGACAATCATAGCCGGCACCCAGGCTCTGACGCCCACTCACTACCTCACCAAGCCGGATGTTGAGAGACTGAAAGCCTCACTGGACCGCCCTTTCACAAGTTTGGAATCTGCTTACTATTCCATCGTGGGACTCAGCAGCCTTGGTGCCCAGGTACCAGATGTAAAGGTAAGGCTACTTTTGTCTGGGCCTCATCCCTTAACTGTGTTCCTTGTGTGTACTTCAGAACTCTTGCTCCTTTGAGGATGACCAAGGCTAATCCAATATAATAAATACTTACTTCAA